ATCTAGAATATGTTGTTTTAATCCAAATTGTCGGAGCACACGATCGGCACATGATCGGGCACGTGCATTTTGACAATCTCGAAACATACAATTGGTACTCGGGCACGCTATATATCTTCACCATCTCTGTAAATATATGGTAGTGAAGCTAAAACCAGTTCATAGGGCATCCACTGAACCTATAAAGAAGATTATGTAAATTTACATATTAGTAACAAATGATGTATTGATTGAATATAGTTAGATATTATGATTTTATACATGTTCATCCTCCATTTGATCAAGCTCGTTCCGGTAAAAGTTTTCATGACCCTTTGGGGGGATTTGCCAATTTCTAAAAATATTCCATCTATTTGATATACAAATGTTTAGTATAGATTAAAATAAATGTATAAAATTACGTGTAATCATATCTATTACAAACTAATATACATGCATCCTAACAGAATCTGCCAATCGAGAGCGTGGGTCTCCCTCAAATCTGGTGTTCCCAAATACCATCGCTCCCATGACCATATTTGCAACAAAGTGAGGAAACCTTTGAATTCTTTATTTTCCACGAATGCCACTTTTGTCATCTCCCTATAGAGATAAGCTAACACTACACTCCTCCAAGATAATTCTCCACACTCTCGAGATCCTAAAGACGTGTCAACCATCTAACATGCACTGAATTCTTAGTGGAATCCGAAAATAGAATGGTACCGATCATATGGAGTATATACGCATGGGCATAAGTCTTGACGATCTCATCAGTTGCTTCGATCAGTACATTCGTGTAATTATTTTGTAACCACTCGGGCTTGATCTTACCTCCCTTCATATTAGGAGCTTGACCCAACAATCGTTCACACACTCCTATTCAGTTAAAGTCATTGGTATTTGTAACAACATCTCCATCCACTTTGAGGTCAAGTAAAACCCCTACATCCTGCAGAGTAATAGCCGACTCTCCTTGACGCATGTGAAATATATTTGTCTCGGGCCTCTATCGTTCAATCAATGCCGTCAAGAGAGGCTAATCAAGTCTTACTCATTTTATTTGTGAACATTCAAAAAGTCTGCTTGATGAACATAATATTGGACCCGTGGATCCGTCAAATCCCAACTCGAATGTGCACGAGTATGATCAACAATAGTAATACTCGAGGCCTACATATATTAAACAGTGTAAATGATCAGTAATAGTAATTATATTAAAAATTTGAAATGATTGAAAATAATAAAAATATAATTTACCTCCCCAGAGTCTATCTTCGCGGATCGGTGTCGCACTTGGTCATATAGGACTTAATATGTCAATGGTCTTGCCTGCATATTGTAAATATCTGCACATATAAAGCTAAAATGTGTCAGTATTATGACGTATGAAAATTAGAATTTGAAGTAAATTAAAGAATTTACATATACACATTGACTTACAAATGAAATAGAATAAAAGTATAAATTAAATAAATTATACCCATAAATTGCTATCTATTTGGATTGGCAGGACAATGAGATCTACTATGACCCGGTTGTCTGCAATATGCACACTTATATTTCTTTGGAGCTCCTTCCCATCCTTCATCCATCGTACTTTTTATGCATGTTGATCGCGAACGACCGACTTGTCTCTTATATTTAGGAGGTAACACATGCGGCCCATTATAGGGTGGCCAGTAACGACTATCTACAATAGGATGGAAACACTGCTTGTATGAATCTCTATAGTGGTTTGATTGATACCACTCAGAAGCGTATGTGTAATACGAAGTATTTGCACCCCCAAATTGCTTGGACGAAACCGCTATAACATGTGAACATGGTAATTTTTGTAATTGCGATATGTTACAAGTGCATGCGCATTGTGTCCCTCATAAATTGATAGTGTAATTATGACCGTGTTTGTCTGTAGCCTGCCATTCATCTATAACAAATCTAACAATCTTTGTTGATCTCGCCTAGACGACACGAGACCCTATTTTTTGGTGTTAATAACATCACCCATTTTGCTCCATCCTCTCGCCGCTAGACAAAATAGTGATTTAATTTATAAAATGTCCTCACAACTAACGCCCGTATGGACATTGCTCGAGCTCCCTTAAGTGCACTGTTAAAACTTTCAGAACAATTAGTTGTCATCTTACAAAACCGATTCCCTCCATCTTTACTTAGTGCCCACCGGTCGACATATTCACTTCCCAAACTGCCGATCGACATATTCACTTCCCAAACTGCCGATCGACATATTCACTTCCCAAACTACTCTCAATCCAGTCATGCGCAGTTTGGGAAGTGAATATGTCGACCAGTGGGCACTAAGTAAAGATGGAGGAATTCAGTTTTGAATGATAATAACTAATTGTTCAGAGTTGATGATCCACCAAGAGTATTGCCATCCTATGATAGGAGAACAACAAAGAACGAGGAGGTTGAGCAAGATTTATTAGCGAGAGAAGAGGTGTTGCGAGGAGTAAAAATGGAGTTGTGTAGGCTTAAAAGTGAATGAAGAAATATTATGATGAGAGCAAGCGTGATGCAACTTTTGAGCCGGGCGAATATATGTATATGAAGTTGTAACCTTATAAACAGTGGTCTTTGAAGAAGAGATTTAATGTGAAGTCATCTAAGAGGTATTATGTGCCCTTTAAGATTCTACAATGGATTGGGGAGGTAGCTTATAAGTTGGGAGTTACCATAATCGTCATTGTTGCATCTAGTCTTTCAAGTGACGATGTTGAAATAGAAGGTGGATGACTACGAATTGATTGTTGATGAATTACCCTCGTTTGATTCAGAGGCAATATGAGGTTGATGCCTATAGAGTTAATTCGCTATAGGACTTAGATGAAGAAACGCACTAAGAAAAGGATTTGGCATGTGTTGGTACAATCATACAATGGAAGAGATTAGCTGCGTACGAGGCAACAAGGGAGAATTATGATGAACTTAAAGAGAGATTTTTAGAGTTCACACTTGAGGAAAAACAGACTTGAAAGAGGTGAGAATGATATGAATGCTAATTAGAAGATGTTTTTTTGTTGGAAAAGTTTCAGTCTATTAGAATTATTTTTTATTAGAAAGTTTTGAGACCATTAGAATCATTTTTAATTAGGAAAATTTGATAGAAACATTTTTATTATAGTAGGAATTCTCTTGAGGCTATATATACGGTTAGCCCTAGCCAAGGTTTTCTTTAATCTTATATTTCGAAAGGAAAAAAAATTGTAGAAGACATTGATCTTAAAGTTATTGATTTTTATTGGATTTATGGGATTCAAACTTAGATTTCTTAGATTATGAGGTTGCTTTGTTGATGATCTGATAAAGGTTTCGCAAGCGCTTTGTTGACGGGTGAAGAATTAAATTAGGGTTCTTATCATGATGCAAGTAAAAACCTAATAGATTGAGTTTGCTAGATTGAACTTGATGTTGATGGCTTCCCTAATCTCCCTAGATGATTGATAGTGATCTGGTCTTGATTAGCCTTGTGTAACACAGAGAAAACGTCATTCACAATGGTGGACTATCCATCAACGCCCTTCTGATGCCTAAGTAAGACTCTTGATGATAGAAGTCAAAGAAATAAGTATGTTAGGGTTTAGAGTAGGGTTCATAGACTGAAGGTTGGTGGAGCCAAATCCAGCAAAGAATATGAGATGCCTTGTACGCGAGGTAGATCGGCGTATTTTTACTGATTACCGAAGAGATCTAGTGGTACATATGTCACAATCTTATTGGCCAAGATGGTTATGGCATTTACTTGGCAGGCAAGTAAATCCACGTGTCAAGACTTCATTGGTAAAGGAATGTTCCTCTGATGTGTATGACGATCAAGGAAGTTATAGAAGTTGGTAACCAGAGAGATTTGATTATTGATTGGTATCTCCTAACTTAGTAAGTTGAAGATATGATACTGTTTGAATCAGTCATAACTGTTCAGGGAAACCGTCATAATATTGGGCTAGGTTGAGCAAAGCATGATATTCGAACTAAGATGAGTTCGAGTGTCATGAGCCTTGGCTGCCAATCCGAGCTTATGGGTCAAACGTAGAAGTCGTGACCTAAATTAAGCAGTTTGAATGCAGATGTTCCACACTTTAGCAAGTTAAGTGGACTTATCTTTGGACCGAGTCAAGTTTGTGGATGTGGCATGGTCTAGCTAGCCCAATTGCAATCAACTTATACGCTTAAGAATGACAGACCTTCTCAATAATAAATGAACAAATGAATAATAGTATGAAAGCTGAAGAGATAAATGTTTACACATATTGCATGGTCTAGCTACTTTCAGCGTAGATTGTTTGGAAATGGTTTACACATATTGCATTCCTAAATCAAGATAAATGTTTTTTTCTAATAAAAGTAAAAATAAAACAAAGTAGGAATCAACAAGGAGAAGGATAATCAAAGCTGACCCTTCAAACTTCTCCGTATACAAGGAGAAGTAACAAAATGAATTTGGATCATCACTACCAAAAAGTACTGCAGAGTATTGCTCCTAATCCCAACCTCTTGATCCTAGCGACTTAACGGTTTTCATTCTTTCTCAAACTGTGTGTGACAAACCTTGCAAAATTAAACTGGGGTCACTCCTAATCCAAGTTTATCCGAAACCAAATCAAGTTTAAACCAAGCAGGATTGGTCCAACATAGAACCAGTTAAATGCTACTTTTTGGCCTAAGAAAAGCCGGAACAATAATAAGACTGTTTCCCGGAATAAATAAAAATTTTCTCCAAATAAGGTCAAGATGAAACTTGGCCCCATTCTGAGAGTTTGCCAAACACGGTATTAGAGTATTTAAATAATTCCTGCTTTTAACCCAAAAAGAATTACAACATTCAATCAAACAATAGATGGCTACGACTAAAGCAGTAATTTCTCCAGCAATTCTTGATCTCAGAAAGGGTCTAAATTTCCTCAAAATGAAAGACAAAATGGAAGTGAAGTCCTCAGTTTCTTTCAACATCAAGGAAATAAGAACAGAGGGGACACCATTTCCATAATGGCCGGTAACTTTGACTCTATTTCCCCCTGTTACCTGTTGACCCCTGAAGTAGTAGAGTAGTACAAATTAGAGAGAGGAATCCAGTGTCTCTCAACACCATTTAAGCATTCCTTAAGCTGCTCAATCACTCGCTAAAAAGACAATCTCCTCTCAGCTCAGATACGTATATGACAAGCACGTTAAACAGTTCCGCCGGTGCAAGTAAACTTACTGTGTATATAAGCCATGCTGTGCCCATCTCTCATCTGAATGCAATCAGTAATTCTAAGACTTAAGACCACTTTCATCTTCCAGCAAATGGCACAAGTGAGCATATTTTTCTTAAAATTTTATTCTTTTATACTGATAAATTCTCAGATCATATAATATTTTCTGTTAATTAACATTCTCCTCAGCAGAAGGTGGTGCTAAAAGTTCTGGCAATGAATGATGAGAAGACTAAGCAGAAAGCCATAGAAGCTGCCGCCGATGTATACGGTAATAATCTCATCTTTAGCTACTTTTTTGCCCTGTATTCTCTATTCTTTGAGCTTTAGTTGTTGAACTCTGATGTTGCTCATATGGGTATAGGAGTTTGTTCATTATATTATCATAAGAACTACAAAACATAGAATTTTGAATATGGGAACAGGGAAAACTTTATCATATCTAGATCCACAGAAGAAGCCAATGGTTTTATTCAGTCATAGGATAAGCCAGAGAATAATTTGGTTGGTCCGCAAGCATCACACGTAACTAAGGAACATGGATGTCAATGTTTGTACAGTGACAGCAAAGCTTGCAATTTTATTCTTTTGTTTCTTATCGTGATCGAACTCCGTCATTTACAAATATAATAATCTAATTTTGGTGGCTTAATTAGATTTTACTTTTTTTTTAAATTTTATTGTTGCAGGGGTTGATTCAATTGCTGCTGATCTCAAGGAGCAGAGGGTGACTGTAATTGGAGAGATGGATGCAGTTGCAGTTGCAAAGAAGCTGAAGAAACTTGGAAAGATCGATATAATTACAGTTGGGCCAGCCAAGGAAGAGAAGAAAGAAGAGAACAAAGAGGAGAAGAAAGAAGAAAAGAAAGAGGAGAAGAAAGAAGAGAAGAAGGAAGAAAAAAAGTAGAAAAATATCATACTCCATAGGCATATACTGTAGAGGCTTTAGCTCCCATAAATTGAGAACAAATGTGAGAGATTGTACAAATAAAGCAAAAGAATTGAAAATATGTATTATTTAATGCTCAACATTTCCTTTATATATTCCATCAAAGGTGAACCATTTCTCTACATATTAGATTAAAGGATTAACTACATTCCGGTACCTTGAGGTACAGCGTATGGTGTACTAACTCATATCCGATTCATATCCATTTGTTGAATATCCGTTTCATATCCGTGATCGTATCCGATCCGATTCTCAAATTTCCGAACCGTATCCGTTTCCGATGAGTGCGGATATGGTTAAGGTTTTTTCTTACCGAAGATAATCCGTATCCGTACCCGTTTATAGAAAGCGGATATGTATACGGTAAGTGTCATATCCGAACCGTATCCGCTCCGTTAACACCCCTAATATGTATGCACAAGTAACCTGATATTACTGATTGTAATTATTACATGGGTGCTCTTATAATGTGACAGCAGGTTAACACCATTTGTTTCTGCTGACTTGGGAGTTCTTGTTGTAATTGTTTCACGCTCAACATTTCTCTGCATGTTTGGCTAAATTAGCATTTGAATATGTCGTAATCAGATCCTATCATCTCCATGTCATTCACCTAATTCCATTATCTAAATTTTCAAATATGTCCAAAGCTCTGATGTTTGTTATGGAATCATAGAACAACGACAACTCATACCTATACAGGCAAAAGCGTGCTTCAACAAATCGTATGGCCAACTGGTTGCCAGCTTGAAAAATATTGATCAGCTTACGTACCATAATTTAGTATTGAAAATCGATCGTCATGTCAAAGATTGGCACCATAGTTGACAGAAGTTGATGCCAATTTGAGGCGAGCTTGACATTAGAACAGTGTTTTATCGTTCTACGAGGAATGGTACTAACATAGAGAAAGGATGGTTCTGCTAGCCTGAGATTTCTCCATCGTTAAAATGCTAATCAGAGTGAAATTTGGCGGACGTACATCAGCCTGCACAAAAGAAAAGTACGTCAGCATTTCATATAATGTATGATTGAATCTTTTCTAGAGCAATAATATCATAGGAACGGCTTCAACTATAATAAATGTCAAGCTGGCCGTGAGAATGTGAGATCTCAGGGGATATCGTTTACAAAATAAACAACTGACGCATCAATAGCATGTCAGCATCGACCTTATACAGAGACGAACACTTGGAAAAAGCATTATAATGCTACTCGTGGCTTTCCGCAGGTAAAAATTCATGAAAGTAATGAGCAATTCAAAGAACATAGAAGAGAGGTCAGACCTCATTTCCCACTAAGAATTCTAATCACTCGCCTTGATAAAGTGGATAATGTATACATCACAACTTGCATTACAAAATGGCTGATTACAGAGCGGGCATCAAGATGTGATGTCAATCTAATTCTCATCACATTGAATAATCATCCTACAGGAATTCTGTAGATAGAACGCACATATCCTTGAATCACCCCCACATGGGCGCTAGATATACTGTCAACAATTTCTTCAAGCTTGACATTAATGATCATCAATAGTTCTCGGCAATATCTCCAAGAGGGGCCAGAAATCTGATTCCTGATCAAGATACATTAAGGCTTTGCATATATCTACGAAGAAGGCTTCAGGCTTGACCTGATCAAGTTGTGAATGTCGCTAGATGAAGATAACTTACAAAATCCACTGAAAGAAGAAATTGAGCCGTATGCAGATTCAATAGGTAAGTATGTCCTCTGAAATTATTAAATATAGTGAGGGACAAGAACTCCAGGCAACTGCAAGTTAAACACGTTGCTCAAGTTCAATACTTGATGATGTCTCCCCTAGTCCCCTGAAAATCGATAATTTCTTTCTATCAGGTTCTATCTACATTCTTCAACAACATTTTCATCACCTGATCCTGTTACCCAAAATAAAAAACATAGAAACAGTGAATTTTGGTAAGCAATATTTCTACGCAGGATAAACATGATCATATAGAAAGTAGGGTGTTGGGTATGTGCAATGCACATGCAGTCTTAAAACAATCTAATATGGAAGTTTGTAATTAGTTTGCATGGTTTTATGAAAAAGTATAAAGTGAAATAAAAAAAATTATAGCTGAATGTATATTCTAATTAGTTATGCAAATTAGACAAATCCCAAATCTGACCCTATAGCCAACTGAACTATTTGAATCCACGGTAACCCATAATTGTCGATCACTGCATTTATATAAATGATATTATAGGGGCAATTACAGACCCGACCTAAGATTCTCAACCCCCTCATTTTATTACAATATGGAGAATTTTTTTAAAGAAAGACTCTTTTTGAATGTTTATTAGCAAAATCAACCCTTTTGAGAAAAAAATAGCAAAATCGACTCACATCATTACATCCGCTCAAAATGAGATCGATTTTGCAATAAACATAGCTTTTAAATACATGGGACTAGTAGTGGTGTAATTAGCCGCCCTAATGAATTTTTTCATAAACATGGGACTTGTCCCATGTTTTGCCCCATATAAATCCTGTGACCTAATTTTTCCATTCCCCCTTTTTCTACCGCTGCCCCCAAATTCTTGCCTCTCACCTCTGCGTCACATCTCACCTCCCACCGCCGCCCTGCCTCTTATCTGTCGCCTCCACCCCACCTCTCATCTGTTGCCTTGCCCCGCCTCTCACCTCTAGCCCTCAAATCCCTAGATTTCTTCTGCGACTCCACCAAGCTCGTGGCCACTGGCTCTTGCCTCCACCTTCGACTCCACCAAGACCGTCTATGACAAAACTCACCTCTGCCACCAACTCCGACTTGACCAATCTCTTATAATTTCACCAAAGTCGACGCCTCTTTTAGTTGCTTCGCTTTTCGTCGTTGATCATAGTGAAAATTTTCTATTTTTTAGTATATCTGAAACATGAAATTTTTTTATTGAATTTCTTTGGCAAGCTGTTGGCTGAATTCTGAGGCATTTCAATTTGCTATGTGTTGATTTCTAGTTGTTTTATTACAGGGCTTTTGTTAGTTAGGGAGTAAAGTTTGTGTTCAAGTGGATTTGCAATGTTTTAGGGCTCATGGAGAAGTCGACATTATGATCTATATATGTTTCTTTCTTTTTCTTTGATATCTGTTCTTGATTCACTATTTTGTGTTTCTGAGATAAGCTCTTGATTCACTATTTCGATAAATAAAAAAATTCGATATTATGAATTCCTTGATTAAGAAAATTTCTGTTGGGAGAAAACACACGGGACTAGTAGTCCCGTGTGTTTTTGGGTCTCTGATTAGTCTTTCATTAAGGACCACTAGTCGCATGGGACTACTAGTCCCGTGTTTTTGAATTTCTTTTGTAAAATCGACCACTTTTTGGCCCGTCGTGATGACGTGGCCAAAAAGTGGTCGATTTTGCTAATTTTATGCCAAAAGGGTTGATTTTGCTAATAAACATTCAAAAAGAGTCTATTTTAAAAAATTCTCCTTGTAGTATAGATGAACTCTTATGCTTGACAAATAATGGCATAGACATGATTATCGATATATTTCTAACCCACTCCGCTATCTTGCAACTGAGAATCGCTCAAGATTTGGAGCCTTTGGATGCCAACAGCTGAAGAATGAACTATCTTTAAACTTCTTCAGAGCAGACTGGTATTCACGAGCCATAGCCTGCAAAAGCATGCAAACACTTCACCAACAATATGTAGCGGAAACATATCATCCTCCTACTGAATATAAACATTAATAACACAGCCGCATGAATCATTAAATGATGCCAGAATAAAAATTTCTAGATGCCTCAGCTCAAGGCCACAACTTCCTTATGAAGAAGGAAATAAACAATCCAACACAACGAGTGCATATCATAGTCCTGGATATCAAAGCATATGTAAAAAAAAAAGAAGGGTTAATTGTGGCTAGACCCCCTGTATTATTGCCAAATTGCGATAGACTCTTTGTAGTTTGATTGCTGCTAATATACCCCGTGAATGATTATTTGACACTTTTATCCTCAGAGAAAGAGAATTTTTCTTTTTGACAAGTAGACCTCCTGAGGGTAAAAGAGTAAAAGGGGTCTATCTGAATGAATAGAATTAAAGGGGGTCTATCCACAATTGGGTTATAGTACACTATATGCAATCTACCCAAAAAGAAATGACCTCTTGCAGTTAACAGAAGGAAATTTTACCTTTAACTCATAATAAGAACAATCCTCTACTTGTAATTTAACACACAACTTTTTCTGCAATGATATGAAAGCTTCCAGTAATCTCCGCCTTGAATCAGAAAAAAGATGCGTCTCAGTTTTCTTCTGACATTTAGGCAATTGCATACCATGGGTATTGATAAATGAAGGGTCCACCATAACCAACAATAATATAGATCAAAATTAGAAAATAATGGGAATCATATTCAATACTTGCAAAGAGACGATTCTGTAGATGGGGATAATGCCCCTTTTGCAGAAGTGCCTTGCTTCCTTCCAGTGGTTCCGAGGATAACCTCATGCAACCCAGATGTATTCCAACAGATTGAATAACTGGCGGAAAAGAGAATCAAACAGATTACCTTTTCCCCTTCAGATATTTACTACGCAATTAAACTTATGTTTGTATGTGGAAACTGATTAATATACCCGCATGTTAAAGAGGGAATGTCACTGTGGGATCGATGAAACTCATTTGGCGGAACAGGAGCTTCAAGAACATGTGGCTGCCAATAGCACGATAATTGTTAAATTACAACAGCTTCACAATTTAACAATAATTATGTTATTCAAGTTGCTACAGTGTTCACCTTGTTCGCTTGAATGTGATCTTGTGAGTGGAAAAAAGAAGCCAAACGGTCACAGATAGCTTTTTCTAGATGATCTTTCAAAGAAAAAGCTATAGAAAGATCACAAGGAGATTTCCCTATCGTTATAGAGAATATGTAAACTGGTTCCATGATATGCGAAAGCAGAGCTCCTGTGGCAAACAAAAGAAGAAAAGCTTGATAATGATGAAAACTATAGCTTAAGTGTCAGGATCTTTTGAACCAAAGCAAGTGCACGTCCAAATCAATCCCATCTATATGCGGGTGGGATGCATAAAGTTGAGACTGAATATTTGAAATTTTGCAAATTTGCAATGGGTTCCTTTTATGTTTGCATTCATGACTTCTAATAGACTCAAGAGTCTATTTCTAATAACCCTCCTCAAGAGGAAATTTTCATCATGAAACCTACAGGTTTGTACAAAACAGAGAATCAGAGATGGGCTAGAAAATATATTATTTTCTCACCCATTTTCATTGCTTAACCAAGCAACAGTCCCAGTTTACAAATTTGACTTAACTTTTACACCTGTTATATAAAGAGAACATTGAGGATCGCAGCGATTCAATTGCTCTTTAGAGGTATAGTAGGCCAAGATATTAAGATTTGTTTCAATTTTAAAGAGTTGCAAGACTACATTTAATATTTTGAACATTTATTTACCTACAAAGGATGTGCGTAACTGCAAAAGGAAACAAATGCAGTAATTCAAAAGCTAGGCCCTAGATTAAATAAAACATAGTCAAAGATGATAGTTTACGGTAAAAAGAAAACCTTGAACTCCCACAACACTCCATCGGGTCATCTTGTCAAAGCAGCTCATAGATAATGTTGCATCACCACGCCCAGGCTTCTTCTGAACAGATCCAAACGTATTGGAGTTATAATATAAAGTACGGTCTGCAAAAACATTTTGCCCATTTAAGTCATGCACAGAAGTAATTCACGTTCAACATTTTGCATTAATTAACAAAGCATTAAAATACACTATGATAGAATCGGTACATAAGGTGCTAGGTTAACTGCTTTGCCAATTGATAAGTATATTGTTGCATGATTAGAAAGGTGAAAGTATGAGAAAACCTGGTACGTAGGACAGAAAACGTGGCTCATCATGCATTATCAATCACCATGCATCTATGAGAAAAAAATAGAAGGAAAGTAAACTTTGAAAATCTGCATAAAGTTACTTAGTTAGATGACACTTACAATATAAAATGAATTGAATATGCCATTTGAATAGTTCCATATCATACAGTTATTAAATTATGAATATAGATTGACTTGTGCACAGACAGTTATCAGAACATCCCTTTCGTCAAATGATAGTTTTGTTTAGTGAATCTCTATAGCTGACTTACACTAAAAAAATATCAACGTCCACGAGAAACCATAAAAAACTTATCATCTCAAACAATTAGATTCAAGCGTGCATTATGTATATAATATAATCACGTTCTCCTACTAAATTACTTAGTACAAAATTAATTTCTCAAGCAAGTAAAAGGCATCAATAACACCAAAAGTCTAACACTTATGTCTAACCAGAATCGACATACAAATAACCATAATTGAAAACAAATTAAAGTGAAATATCACCTCCTAGCAGTCCCTCTCCTTTCAAACAAGAATCACTTGCACTCCCCAAAGCTCCACCTACAACAACACAAAGAACTATAAATCATGATTCTCAAAATTCATTTCTTTTCCATTCAAATACATAAAATATCATCGCACCATACATGGAAACTGGGTGATATACAAATGCAGCCGCCACCCTGGCCTCATCACGTACTTCTCTTGCCCATGAATTCCATCATCCAAACAAAGAACCCTCCCTAATCCACCATTTCCCCTCACACGCTCAATCTCCGAATAAAAGAACCTAAACTTCTCAAAATTTAACACAAATCTTCCTTTCGAAACTTAAAAAAGAAAATATCAATTTGCACTTCAATTCCCCCAAAGTTACACCCTTTTTTCAACTGGATACCCTGAAGTTCTATTTTGACAACTTGACACCCCGAAAGTTTTCAAATTGACGTTAGTTCGACAAATTGTTACCAGAGTCAGAGCCCAAACTTTGTTCCCTAAACTCAAAAAAATAAATAAATAAATAAATCTCAGGATATTAAACTAAAATGGGTGCAACTTTGGGGTATTTAAGAGAAATTAAGCGAAAAAATCAGTTGGGCTGCTAAAAAAAAGACCTTAACAGGGATCTTCGAGCAACGATCTCGGCATGCGAATCATTGAGGACGTCGCCTCTAGGGCTGAGAAGGGACTTGCCAATGCACTTGGTTCCAGTTCCCAATGCAACAACTTCGATATCTGGAGAGAAATTGAGGAGAACAAATTAGGGTTTTGGAATTGGGGATTAGGGTTTTGTGAGGGAGTTTACCTTGAGAAGGTGAGGAGATGAGGAACGCAGCTAAGACTGTGGTTTCTTTGCCTTGGGGCTTTCCCTTTTTGGGTAGAGATCTGTAGAGAGAGAGGGCTACGTTTGAGATTTTCTCTCCCCAATTTGGGTTAGTTTCCATGGGAGGAGGAATTGAGAGATGAAATTGAAAAAGAGGGTAGCTTCTCTTAATTTTGGCGCAAATTGGGAAAGATGGGTTTTTTTCGATTATTCCCTTGTCTTTCCATATTTTGAATTAGTCCCTTGCATCATCAAAATTACTATTCGCTTTTGGTTCTCAAGTTATTTTCAAATTAGTCCCTCACATCTTTGAAATTACTAACAAGTACCAACTTCTTAAATCATTTTGAAATTAGTGCCTCAATCAGGAGTAGAAATAGCAATCACTAGGAAATTAGTCCATTTAATCATCAAAATTTCTATTAAGTCCCCTAATTCTTATAAGCAGTTTTAATTTCAAAATAATTTTAAAGTTAAGAGATTAGTCGATCAAATCATCAACCACCCTTCAACTTGATAAATACTTGAAATTAAAAAAGTGCTAATTTACATTTAAATACACTATAATTTTCCCAAGTTTTCACTTATGTAACTTTGCTTTTTTTGGAAGCACTCGTGTACCCTAAAGTTTCAAAAGTTGCACATGAATACCTTATGTTATACGTACATAATAAATTTCCACTACTTTTCTCATGTGACACTCATAAGCTAATTTTAGGATATTTTAACTCTTAATGTATTATTAAATTTACTGTACCATAATTCTATTTTAAACTAATTATATTTTGAAATTGAATTCTCGTAGATTTAGCAACAAATCCAACAAATGCTAAGGGCTAAAAAGTTATAAAATTAGCTTATGGATAAGACCGGGGAAATTTTCAGAACGTTTTCATAACACAATGTATTAAAGTGCATATTAAATTTCATAATTTAGTTCTGCCAAAAATAAGTAAGGGTATATGAGTGCAAACTGGGGAAACTATATGGTCATTAAGTGCTAATTAGCCTAAAAAATTGGAAACTAGACTTTGCTAACTTGCACATTCCTTTAAGAAGCGCATGTTTGACCCAGTTAAAAAGCATATAAATACGCCTCTTCGGGCGCCATTTCCATTTCCCAAAATTTTCAAACCCCTCGTCCTCTAAATTCAGAGGGCGATCCCAAAATTAAACCCTAGAAAAAAAAAACACACACCTGGTTTTCCCCGAAATTTTATCTTTGATCTCGATCTCGAGATCTATCCTTCTTCAAGATCGATGCGAACTCAAAAGGGAGCGGGATCAAGGCAGTTGAGGTGAATACCTAATTTCTCCGTTTTCAGTTGTTATTCTTTTTGTTTTTGTTTTTTCTTTGTTTTGATTCATGCAGTTCTCCAAGTGTTTCTAATTTGGAACTTTTAGAGTGCAAATCTGAGATCCCTATAATATCATAATCACTCAGTGAAACTTTAGCTTTTGATAGAATTGATTCTCACTAATATAATCGCAGTATGATTCTTTAGCATTTTTCTTGCAGTATTTTATACTGAAGCTCACATTAATTATTGTCATGAACCAGAAGGGTTCACATTTATTTAAAATTCTGTACAGTAAGATCATACTTTGTGGAGCTATTTGGAAGGCATTTTATTGATGGCTTATGCTATTAAAAACTAGAAACAATTTTTTATGCCAGTTGAAATATCAATGAACAATGTGCTTATTTATTAATTTTCATTGAAAACCTAGATTCTTGATTAGGTTTTTTGTTGCTTCATTCCATCATGAGATTGACTCAAACATCAGGGGAGCTCCATTGTTTTCGGTAAAAGTTGATTTCTTCATTGCTGAATCTATTACACGTTTATCGATTATAGATTCAAAGTAAAATTAGTCTTTTTATAAGACTTTCTTACACAATGAAAAAAATATAAAAAATACAACTCTCTTCAAACAAACGCAACGGGTGTTTATCGCCCGCTGCTTGCGTGGGATCTTGGCTTGTGACGGGGATGTTGATATCCGTGGACCACCGTCGATCAGATCTGATTGCTGAAAAATCGAGAAGAGCTTCGTTGATTCGTGAAGGAATCAAGAAACCGTAGTGCTTATCTCGGCAACGACGAGATAATTACTCTTCTTAAGATTATCACAACGGGATAATCTTAAGGAACGGACCCGGGGAACTGCAGATCTGACGAGCTCCTCTTCTTTATGCCGACGAACTCGATCAGATCTCTACTCCTCCTCCTCTCTGAAATTCGTGCACTTTTGATCCTCAATCCGGCAGGCCTTCGCCAACGCTCGAGAATTCCAGATCTCAAAAAAAAGGGCTCCAGGGGCTGTATTTATAGGTTTCAAGGAGATCCGGGCGGTTAAAACCGCATAACGGGCTGTTTTTAGGCCTGGAGACACCCCAGGGTGTCTCAGCAAGGCCGACACACCCTTGGGTGTCTCGGCCTTGGCCGAGACACCTTGGGGTGTTTCGCTTGTACCGAGACACCTCGGGGTGTCTCAACTCAGACTGAGACGTTCTTTTCCGTGCACTTGTCCGTTTTCGCCGTAATTTCTTCGTCCGAACTCGGATTTGAGTGATTCAAAGTGCATTGGAAAGCTGACGAAGAGTTCTATAAGCTCTGATGATTAGATCAATGTGGATTAAGCTGGGATAGGAGCGTCGCTTCACCTTTTATAAGCGACGTGGGGCTCCCGATCGGTTAGTATCCTCCTTATTCTGAAACTCCGTTACTTCACGTAGTTCGTCGATTCACTTCAAACGTTCACCGACATCAATCAAGCTTCTGTGAACCAGATAGTGACGTTCATCGTCTTTTCTTAGCGCTGAGCTGTTCATGGAGACCTATAGGCAATTTTCGATGCCTACATCCATAAATTAGGTTGGTTCCATTAAGAGCCAACCTATGTTTATAACGAGGGATCAACACTGGTATCGTTGACTTAGGACATCCCTCATTATATCTCCACGCATAAAAAAATATGAGTCTATGACTCTAGCTAAATGATAAACATCATTAATTCATACTGATCATAAGACGATATAATGAAAGTTTTTTAGCAATGAGATTCATGAAAATTGTGATTATTTTATGATTAAGTATATAGTTTTAGAATAAAATCCTACTCTCATTAAGTGGTTAAGTCATAGGTCTCAACCTATATTATATAAAGAAACTAGATGAAGAAGATGGCAATAAGATCTGCTGTCATGTATTTCATTCACATAAAAACAACTGGTCTTGGTAGCTCCTTGTGGTTGTGGGGACTGCGTGGTTCGATCCAGGGTTGCTGACGGGGCTCCGAAGGAGTTAAACTGCGCTGGGTGACCAGGTTTCCCTTGTCAAAAAAAAAAAAAAAAAAAAAAAACAAAAAAAAAAAAAAAAAAAAAACTGGTCTTTACACAGAAAACATAGCTTTTATAGATAGATAAAAAAAAAAAAAAAAAAAAAAACTGGTCTTTACACAGAAAACATAGCTTTTATAGATAGATGAAAATTTTCCTTGACAAACCTTGTCCTCCTTTACAAGTCTTATCAACCCAATTCTTCCCTATACAGAAAACCTTAACCTCTATAATATTAACAATAGAAGAATATGTGTAAACATAGATGATATGTTTCCATGACAAGTCCTTAAACATATCACCAGATGCTCTCCTATACAGAAAATCCCAATCTGTATAAGAACAAGAGAAGAACTAACTCCTTAAGGAATTTTTAAGAGCCCGAACAGTCATTACAAGCTGCTGTCTTTCACCTTCTACTTCTGCAAATTTGAGGCTCATTTCGGTGTATCTTTCTTGCATTTCTTTCAGTTCAGCTTCCATAGCTTCATTTTTGTCTTTAAGGAATGTCATTTTAGTTAAGATTTCAGCTAGCCGACCTTGATCGCATTCTGTTGACATTAGCTCTTCCTTGGTTTCCTCCAAACTGGTTTTTACACTACTGCAAAGGTCACGTGAACATGAATAAGTTACGTGATCTTATTATATACCTGTATCCTTTTAAACGGAAGTCTAAGTTATTGAAAAGCAATCTGTTTTCCTTTTAACTTGGAGAAAAGACTGTTAGAGGAAACCGTCATATCTAAGCACTTACCTAATAGCCAATTCCTTGTTGCTTCCTCTCGAATTGTGGCTGCCTGCTTTCTCTTCCATTATGGGATGTAATAGAATTTTCCCATCCGCACTTTCTCTATTTAATTTCTCATCTGCAGTCTTGGTTTCCTAAACATTATATGTGGGATTCCAGTCAGGAATATAATTTGGCCATTGTCGCCTCAGGCCTTACAGAAAACTACACAGAGGGCCTTGTTGATTCTACCTGTGACTGAAAAATGCCCAATTGTTTGTCATTAGTTGACATGCTTCTTTTACCCTCAGGAACATCTCTGTTCCTCCTGCAGCAATTGGTTTCCTGCCATTCGAAAGTACGTCAATTAGGATCAGGAAATGCATAGAAGTTACTCTTTTTTACCCACTCTTTGATGTTGTATCATCTACATTTTACTTTTCTAAGACTCTCTTCTTTTGTTCATATAAATAAATTTTAAATTGAGTAAATAAGTGATGGAGAAACCTCATCAATATTTTATGTCAGGATCCATCCTGCAATAGAACTTTTGAAGTCTGAGAAGGTAGACCTACATTTTTTGGCCATGTGGGTTAATCTCATGTAACTAAGGAACACCTTTCAAGGTTTCTCTAGATTGAGAAAGAGTCTAGGCAATGATGCAAGACGATGAGATTTGTTGTGGGGAATCACCTTCGTGTCTAGTCTATCTATGAGGCATAAAATTAGCCAAATAGTAAATACTCTATTATATTTACTATTAGACAATGGTGGATTCTGGACTACTTATTGTACTTTGTTAAAAAAAACCTAATACATCCGAGTGTAGAACTGCAAAACTTATTGATCCTCACTGGCAGAACATAAACTAAGTTTAGCAAGTCTATAAGATTTAGTTCTCACCCCTTGGGCTGTACTTCCACAAAGACCAGCTTTGTATTCATTGATACTCTTTTGCAGTTCTTCTATCCTCTTTAGCATATCCCTCTCTTTCTTCACAAACGAATTCCTTGATTCCTCCATTGTTGTATCCTTCAGCTTTATCTTCCCCTGAAAGCAGGAAAACCAAATACATTAAGGTTAGCACCTATATCTGTTTGCAACAGACAGACACCTAATATTCATGTCAAAGTGCTAACTGTACCTCAAGAACTTTTATTTTCTCACGCAAAGTAGTGACTTCCTTGGAGACTTGAGGTGTGGGGTTATATACGTTATTCTTGTTTCTCATGGCTGTCTTTGTAGTCTCCTGAGAGGATGTGAGTCTTGAATTGCTATCCTTCAGCTTTTTCTCCATATTGATGATTGCATCTTCCTTTTTCTTTAGGTCGTCTCTTAAGCGAAATACCTGCTTCCTTAGGTTTTCCTTTTCAGCCTCATCCTCAAACAATGAATTCTTTAGGTCATTATACTGTGCTCTAAGAGTTGCCAAGTCGGAGCTTAGGGTTCTGATTACTGTCTCTTTTTCATCCTTTCGTTGTCGCAAGTCATCTAGCTCTTTAACTGCCTTTTCCTCCACTTCTCTGATAGAGAAAAGTTCTTTCTTTAGCCTATCTCTTTCCAAATTTATTGTATGTAGTGCCATTTCAGTTTCTTTACTTGATGCCTTCAACTGTTCCAACTCAACCATCCATTTTTTGTTCTTTCCAAACTCCTCAGAAATAAGAACTTTTTCTCTTGATAGCCTTTCCACTTCATCTTTAAGCATCAGTTTTTCTTCTGATAGAGCCTTCTCCCTTGCTTCATTACAGTTCTTTAGATTCTGAAGCTCTTCAGACATAACTTTGAACTCCAGGAGCAGCTTGTCTGCTTCATTTGTTTTAAAAGCAATTAGGTTTAACAAATCTTGAACTTTCATCTGGGACTGATATTGAACTGATGCAAGTTGTTTGTTAGTTTCCTCTAACAATTCCTCCAGTTGGCATTTCTGCAAACGCAATTCACTAGCTTCAGATAATGCTTGAGTAGCTAATTTCTCATTCATCTGAAATGTCATTGACATTTGTGTAGAGAGCCTTTCAAATTCCTCCTGCAGTTGTTCAGCTTTGCTAGCATTGTTCTGTCTTGTCTTCCTCAATGCATCCTCTGCTCGTATAGCCCTTTTCTCCTGCTCAATCTTGGCATGGGCGACATTTTGTAAATCGGCTTTAAATGCTTCAGCCTGTTCCTGAAGCTCATTCTGTAGGTTTCTGATGCAGACCTCAAGGTCACTGATAATAGTCGAGTGTGTACAACATTCATACTGCATCCTTAGCTGTTCTTGCAACCGGTATTGTTCCAGCTTGGAAGTTATTTCATGATTTTCCTGTTTCAGGATCTCATAGTCTAGGGCAAGTTGTTCCATTTGTATTTCTAGGTCTTCACGATCTCTCTTGTATAGCTCTATTTCGCTATTCAGGTCTATAATCTGGTGATCAAGTGAATATGGTATCTTCACATCTCTATGCCCCTTGACTAATTCTTCCAGTGCATATTGTTCACTGTCTTCAGAAGTTGTTTCTAGTAGTTCTTGCTTGCAGTCATAGATATGCAAATCCGAGTTTCTAAATTCTGACAAAACATCACTAGCAGCCGTTCTTTTGGCGGTTTCTGTTCTGCAGTTCGAACAGATTGCCTCTCTATTTTTTTGTTCTAACACTTTCTCGAGATCTTCCACTGCGAGAATCAACTCCGAGTTGGACTCCTGTGTCTTCTCCAATTGTAACCGGAGATTTGCATTTATTCTTTTCTCGTGAGTTAGCTCTTGTTTGGTTTCTTCTAGTATGGACCAGGGACCTTCACCATTAAAATGAGACAGGCTTGAAACTGTCTGAACCATCAGTCTCTTTTGTGAGCCCTTAATTTCTTCGAAGTCTTTTCTAAATGCATCACTCTCCTCTTTTGTACTTCTTAATTCCCTTGCAAGATCTTGCACGCGCTTGGTCTCCTTTACCAATTGTCTCCTTAGTGTCTGTAATTCTAATTTTGATACTTCTCCATTCCCTATCAAAGATACATCGCTTACCCGAGGATCCTCTGATTCTTGCAGCCTTTCTCCTAGCCCAGTATCAGCTGAACTGTTTGTTGATCCATCACTACTTCCCTCAGGACCAGAAGTGATGGACAAACAAGCGACTGACCTATGAAGTTCTCTGTAGTCTGTAACAAAATTAACTGATTTCCTTGTTTCCTTTTGAGGTGATTGGAAGCCACCATAATCCTTATAGCTGCTATACTTTGATCTATTCTCCTTGGCTACATGTTGCTCTGAACTTTTATCAGTACTTGTTGAAGCTGTACTATTGGTGCTGAGAGAATTCCTGAGCTTTCTATTTGATCCAGTAAGCATGTTATTATTCCTGCTACATGGAGACTGCATTTGTTCCTGGTGTATAAAAGGCGAGTCATCAAATCAGCAAGAAACAAATGCAGAATTGTTAGTAAGCGTAGTGAGTGCATAAGCATAAGAAATGTGGTAGAAGTATTGTATCATTCTCTCAGAAGGTTATACTAGAAACTTTAGAATCTTTTCTGTATGTAAGTTCCTGTAGCCATGAAGTTATAGATAGATAGCAGGGAATTTCAGTTTATCAAACAAAAAATTTGATTTGCAGCGATGTAGCATACAGCTTGCCCTTAAAAAAAAAAATCTAACCCACAATAAACTAATTTCTGAATAAGTATTTGGATTCTCAAGTTCAATATGAAAAGTCCACCTTTTTTAAATTGTCTATAGATGGAACTTTTAATTACGGGTCAATTATAAATTACACTCAATTCAAATGATCGGGTAACAAAATCTATTGCCAATATCTCTTCAGTTGAAATCAGTTTACATGATTGGTGTTACTAACCTTCAACTTGAACTGATGATAACATGCGCTTTAATAGACTCTTATGATTCAACATCAGATGATAATAAGGTTTTTGTCATACATATCCATGCAGTCATGCAGATGAAGATTTCAATGACCAAGCTGTTTCAAATTATGTCCATTCATAATGACTACTTAACTAATTACATTGTCATAGTTTGATTTAGACCACAAATCATTATCAGGTTGCAATTCCCTGCACAGGTTATTGTTGAAGATGAGATCCCACTATTATTTGCTCGCATGTTCTCGATACTGAAATTTATAGTGACATTTGTATATTTATATTTGAGGGCTTCTCTTTCTTAGTCATTTACGAGGAGGTATAATATAACATAGGAAAAAGATAAGAAAACTAAGAATTTCTGTTTAAATAGTGGACTTACTTCTATGGAGTTTGTATCTATTTCTGGGGCTCTTCTACCTTCCTCTTCGCCATTACTGTCCAATTGGCCTGATGTCTTCCTTTCTTGTTCTCTGGCATAAGCATCCCCATTTGCATCAGCTTCCCTGATTTGTTTGGCAAACATTTATGAGATAAAGATCTGCATACAAACTTTACCATAAGAAAATCCGAAAAAAGGACGAACAAGGATGTTATTACCTTTTTTGAACATCAGCCTGCACTCTCTGTATGGTAACCTGCATTTTTTATGCTACCTCAATATAGTCTACTGTTTGAGAACAAATTCATAAAAGAGTAAAGGTTCACATGAAATATCTGAACAGCATTTATTTCAGACAATTCGATGGAAGATAAATGTGACGTGTGGTGGTTTGATCTACTTGTGAACAGAGATCCAGTACGAACCTTGTAAATTTAATGATTTTGATAACTAGAAATTACATAGAAATGAACCATATCAATTTAAAAATTGAGAATGCTCACATGCAAGATTGGACCAGTATTGGATGCTTTAAGCGGGAGAGAAACAGTTAAAGGTTTAGAAATCTCAGCATACTCTGACAAATTAATCGTGATCTCCCCAATGACAGCAGCTTTTGCCGATCCCTAAGACAATTTTGATCAAACATTCTTATATTAGGCATACAAAACATGAGCAAAAATCTTATAATGATGTGAAACAGAAACTTTTCTTACAACTGCTGAAACAATGAAGTTGTAGAGTTTGTCATTTATCTTTCCAGTTTTCGGATCTTGGGTGAGTTTGACTGTTTCATACACAGGTTTTCTCCATCGGCAGTTTCCATCCATCACTGTAACTTTCTCGGTTCTCGCAGTTGGCTTGCCTACATCCAGAGGAACCAGAGAAACCATTGCAGTCTCCCACCCCAACTTCATCACCTGTAAATAAAAACCATGATGTCAGAGCTATTAACCTAATGTTGACTATCAGTTTCATGAATGCATTCATAGGATCATCTGCGTTCTGTTCATTTCTCGGAGCTAATAAAAGAACTACTTCGAGATGATAATGTCTTCAAATTCTGGAATTTTACTTGGAATACCTTGGTTGCATGCAGCTCGAATTTGAACACAACTTTGATCTTGCTCTTCTCGCTCCTCCATCTTGCTGCCTTGAACATTGTCGATCAATCCTTCAGTTTCTTATTTGGTCTTGATTCTGGGCTTTCTTGCCATTATCCAATTCAACAATGCTGGTATATTACCATAGGCCATCTATAGAAGACACAACATTATGTCATTAAGGAATGGATATTTTTGTATTTTTCGCAATAGGAGTTAGAAAATGGGTGCCTACGTTACAATAAAAAGAGAGAGGAAAGAGGAGATAGAAATTAGATTCCAGACACATCAAATACCTGTGTTTGTTGGAGTAGGAAAAGAACAAGAGAGCAGCTCTGATTCACTGCTTTGTCGCCTCCATCTTTGGTTATGGGGTTATGAAACAATAAATTTATCGAAAATTAAGAAGCTTCCCTTTGCTTTAAATTTAACAAAAATAAAAGGGGGCACTAGTAAAGTTTGCTAGGGTTATAAAGCTGCTGGTGGATTGCTTAATTTGAGATTCTGAATGATGTAAGAACAAATGCTCACCCCTTGATTCTGACAGAGGTTTAAATTTAGATTTTATTCCCTTTTAGTAAAATAGAAGGCTTCTAGTCACTTTTCAATTTCATGGTTATTGCAGCGTGTTAGTGAGGGATTTGGGGGGAAAGTCATTAATGTGGGGGTACCCGAACATGCTTCCTTAATCAAGGTTGTTCCTGATAGAGGAAAAATTTATTGTGCAGTTGTGGAAACAGTAAAACAGCATTAATTAACATATATATTGATGAAACCAAGAACTGAACTTTGTCTGAGCAGTAAGCATGCAAAAACTGCCTGAGATAGTAAATGACATAAATGAGGCTCTCCGCCATCGAAGAGGTAGGTTCAATTGAAAATTTTGTCATTGAATGTGGCAGTATTCTCTGCCTCTGTTTAATTGGTTAACTTACTGTTTAATGGTACTTATTTCGCAGTTACAAATAACATGAAATGATCCAAGCGGTGGTTAATTGGTTCTCCTGGCCCACACATCGTATGCCCTCACGAGCACCTGTCTCCCAACTGCAACTGCGCTTGGATGCTCATCCTGGCCCCAGGTACTCACTCATACTGGTCACTAGTATCACATATTGGGCATGAGTGGATAAATGCTAGCTGTCTACGTACGCAGTGCAACTTATTGCATTTCTCTTCTGCGGACCATCTTGCATGAGGTTTCTTTTGGTCTGCTGTGTTTGCTTTTGTTCCCTAGATCTTTATTACTCCGAGTCTTAATGCTTAATTGTACTACTAGTCTTAAACCTAAGTGGACGACTAATGATGCTTTCGGACGTTTTACTGCCTTGAAACCGATGACAAGCTCACAGGGTCATGTTTTATTGCTCAGTGAACTGGCCCATGTAAACAGAGATCGCATCATGATCCTCGTTGCATGCCCACGGATCTTGATTTTGGTGCCACCAATTTGGTGAAGTATGTACGTTTCTTTACAACTTTGTTCTACTAGTTAGTTGAAACCTGATCCAATACAGCGAGCGGACCCGAACAAACCTTGCAAATGACACAAATCTGACGGACCAAAAACGGGGGCAGGAAGTTTTGAGTAACCAGATCAATCCTTTGCTTAAACAGGCTGCAGTGAGTTTTTGAGTCTAATATCTTAGTTGAAGCCAGATTATATGTCAGGCGTTCTGATACACCTTAGGGTTGGTCCAACTTTGCGATGCCGAGCTCATCGGCTTGATGATTCGTGTCTAGATATTTGGATCCATACACAACCAAGGCCCTATTGTACTAGTTGGTTACAAAATCTAATTGAATCGGGTTAGATCTGGGTGAAGTAAGAACCTACTTGCAGGTAATGGGTCGGATCCGGATCTGAGGTTTGATAGATGTTTAGGTGCCTTAGATATTCTAGTTCAATGAAGTTGTGTTGGTGATTAACCACCAAACCCTGCTGCGGAGTTCCCAATCTGCTCTAAGCCAGCAGCTCTCTAAATGAGACAGATGTATCCTTCATTTCTGAGTTAAGACAAGTGTTATCCTTGTCTTTGCTTCAACGCACATATTCCCCCCTTTATCCTCACTTTCTTATTGCATTGGAAAATAGCACTTGAACAGTAATCTTTCAGATCTC